GAGAAGGCAAAATACGTAAGTATGTACATTAGGGTGGTTCAAAAAAAATGCAGTAAAGTCAGAATTTTTATTCTTAAAAATCAATACTTTGAAATCGCAAAACTCTGTTTACCTGCAGGAGATTCCCAATAAAAGTGCCCAATTGTTTATTTGATAATTTTTTCATCGCAACTATAATTTCCGCCAAAAACCCACAAAAATCACGAAAAATGCAATGAGCGGTCTAATAAAAAATCGTTAGTATTGAAAAATGGTTAAATAATCAATTGGGTATTATTACTGAAAGTCAGCTGAAGAGAACCAGGGCTTTCCGATCGAAAAACATTGATTTTTAAGAATTCTATATCATTTCTACGAAAAGTTTTTTTTCCATATAAAAATACATGGAAAACTTTAAGCGCTTTGAGCGACCTCTAAATATTTTTTGATTTCAAAATAAAAAAATTGGGGTATCCTTTTTTCGATATAGAATAATCCTAGGGGGTGAGAGCATTACAGTTCCGACTTTACCGTTTTTGGACCACCCTAATGTACATATATATGGATACGCTTACTACATGTATGTGCTAAAAATCGAACGGCTAGACGGTGCACACCCATATAAGCATAAAAAAATGTACATATGTATATGCACGTATGAGTTGTTAGAAGTCACATAAAATGCTGATGAAGTGAAGTGAAGACGAGGAGAGTGGGTTAGCATAGCTTAGCCGTGAGCGACCCCATTTTGTGGCCTTTGCACATTTCATAAGTCTTCATACAAGAAGTCTTCATATGTGGTTTTCTTGAGATTCACAAATGTTTTCGCAGACTTCTATATGTATATCCTAATTTAGCGCAAATCATATTAGTAATCAATTATATAAATAGGCAATCATGTTTCCTTTACACCCCTTTTACGGCTAAACTGTACTTCTAAGGTATAAACAATTATATATCATTAGAAAGGTATTTTGATGCTGATGTGCAGGCAATTTTTAAAATTTCAAATTAGTTTAAAATAGAGCGAAAAAATCAATTCAAAAGTCACACCAATACCAATGCCATACATGTAC